GGGTGGACGACCGAAGGTAACGTAGGTTGGTTCTCGAAGATAGTCGTTCTCGTATGCTTTCCTATCGGTGTCGGGTCATAAGTTAAAGAATTACGTTACAGTACAAACCGTTCGATAATTTTGTTTTTAATGTTTTTCGATTTTTTTTGGGGGGAATTTTTATTTTTTATATAGGTGTACATAGATCTTGGCTGCTTTCCTGAATTTAAAACCGAGCTTGAATTTGTGCAATGCTTGCTCATGGAGGAGTCTGTATTTTGTTTACCAGGCCAGGTTGGTTTCTGGTTAATTCATGAGGTTAAGATATTTTTTATATGGTTTTAAGTAATTAAACAAAAAATTTTTCAGTGCTTTGATTATCCCTCTTATATGAGAATGGTTATTACTGTGCCGGAAGATATGCTGCAGGAAGCCTGTTTGAGGATCAATGATTTCTGCGAGAGACATCATTGCAAGACGTCCCATGAGATCATTAGGAATTCTCTTCGGCGCGTGGAAATACCTTACTAATTCATTCTGGATATTTGTTCATTTAATTAATTGTTAGTTTATTCATGTACATACATACGACAATGCTTCCACCAAAAATATTAATTAATTCTTTTTTATTCACGTACCAAGAGTTTATCCTTTTCCATGGATTCTGCGAATGTGGTAGCTCATTTTTTTTTTAAATCGATACAAAAATAAGGGGATCACTTGTATTCGTGATAATTTTGCACATTCTAATAGGGCCTAACGAGTTTTTTTTTTTTACGAATGTAAAAAAAACGTGTAAAACAAAAAATGCGATGATTACCTTCGGCATATCTCGTTTTTCGAAAATTCCGGTTTTATTGTCAAAATTTTATAAGTGGAAGTTCTCATTAAGACTTGCAGTAGAACGTAAATTTTCTTCTTTATCTCGGTGAGGTAAAAACAGTCGAGGTGAAGGAAATGAAAGTTCTACTGTTTTAAAGTCTGTTGAGTTTTAAACCAATGCTAGTTGAAATGATATTTGAAAAAAATTAATTTTCAAAAATCATGTGCCACGCTCACGAAGACTTTTTCGAGTCATTTCACGTTCATTCACATTCGATACGCGTGCCGGGTTCTTTTGAAACTCATGTGGCGTCTGCCACGGTACAGGTACAGAAAAAAGGAAATTAAAAATCAACGATAGAAAGTATAATACTTTTGGAAATTAAAAAAATGGTCTATTTTCATTCAACGGTTATGATTTCGTAATGATTTTTTACAGGCGTAACTCTCCAAAATTTTTTACATCAAATTTTTTTATTATTTCAGTATTAATGCTATTGTTTCACGAAACTGTAACAAGCTCTGGAACGAAACGTTCATTGGAGACTTTTTTTCAAACAGGTCGAGTACCTGGTACCTCTTGTCCTAGTAATTTCAGTAGTCGCCACAAAAACACAGTGACAGCCTTAAAAATCATTAAATCCGTGTCGTACACGTATAACAGTAATGGGATTATTAGCGTTAAATCAATAGCCGTTAAAAACTATTTACAGCAAGTAAAATAACGAGTGCAAGATCAAATTGAAATTTCTCTACTATAATCCCTAGTATTTTTTGTTCAATTATCAACCTAAGAAATTACATTTCAAATTCACTCGCCGGATCTTCCTTAAATGATTTCTCGAGTAGAAGCCTAATTTCGAGATTATATATAATTATATTCCTAGGCAATTCCCAGAATAATCTCAGTCGCCTTAATTGACCAAAAAGTTTCAAACTCATTTCGAAAATCACGTAAAATTCCTCAACCAGAATTCACACGAGTTCATCCGCTGAACTCTACTGCATATTTATTCCCTTTAAATAATTCTTTACTCTTACCGAGTCTGCGAACTTTTTGTCAAGACTGTACACACTCGTTTGTACATTGTTAACTGAAAACCTTCTATAGAGCACCTACGGCTCATTATCGCATACCTACATACATTATAACCCATGAAGCAACGATACAGTCAGCCAACCTAATTTCGCGCAAACGAAACACGTTTGACTCCCTCGATTACAATTCTCAATTATCCGAAGATTACGGTCACGTGTTCAAGCCTGGTTAAGACTACGATTAATTTTAGAGTAGACTGTACACGTTACCCTCGTAGACGTTCTCGACCCGGTAGAACATTAGCTAGGGTAAATTCTCCGCAAAAATTTTGCGATTTAACGTAAACAAATTTTAACTGGTTAAGGAGGACGGGGGAAAAGAGATTTCATTTATTAAAAAAAAAAGATCGATATTCTAACACAGTACGGTCTGAAAAATTAGAAGAACTTTTTTAACATTTAAAGCCAAAGTATTAGTTACCCTAGAGATTTTGTGTACTTATGACGATTACCATTCTGCCGAGGGATGCTGGAGAGTTTCCGGGGTGGCGCAGATAGGTACTCTTTCTTCATGCAGACTCTGCTCCCTCTAAAGACGTGAATAATAGAGTGGCGTTGGTGCACCCCTACAAGCGTGGGACGAGGTACTGTAGAGCTAAGGGTCGAGGGGGAGGGAAGGGAGGGTGCTAAAAAACGTATTTGACGAAGGGTAGCAGAGAGCAACGAGAGCAGGCAGCCAAGCAAGAGCCAAAGAAGAATGTACACGTTCATCTTGTAGGTACCAACCACTCGTAAAAGAATGAACAACCCCCTGTTCGCACGTGCTTTATTCGAAAACAATTGTCGACTTTAAAGAAAAAATTCCAAGGGATCTTTCTTTGGATTTTTAAAGATATTCAGACATTCACGTACAGACAGAGTGCATTAAGAAATTGTCCAACCGAACGAATTAATTGCTTGCTGTAAGCTGGGTATAATAATAATAATTCGTACGGGATATCATTATAGTGCATTTATGTAGAACTATTAACAAATTTTCAGTAGGTCAAATTTCAGCTGTTTAGTTAAAAAATAACTATGCCACTCGCGTGCTTGCCGGATTTCACTTTTAATGTAAAAGTCAAAGCTTAAGCTTTAAGCTCGGGATGCTCAGGGCAGGGAGGTTCTATTAATATCGTCGTCGGATCGCCAGTACTATGTGAACATTATGCTGTCGCCCAGTTAACTGCACGTAGTGCGTTGTATCGATGATACCTAACTGGAATAGCTTCAGGTGGTATTGATCCTCGAATGACACCTGAAGTGGGTTTCTATCCAGGTCGATACAGATACTTTTATAATGGGAAATCGATCTGAGTTCTGGACATTGGTATTGAATTTTATAACATTAAAAATATTTTTTTAATTAAGCTTCGAATTTTGTTTCCGTATCAATGTAAATACAGAATGGCGGATTGAAAAAAATTTTGAAAAAGAATTGAGTTGACACATCTCAACCCTGCGAATCCGGGCAGCGAACCTAAACCCAATATATGTCTATGTATGCATATATATGCCTATCTTTGGGAGGGTAGTTAAGAGGACTTTTTTCTTATTATATATGTATAAATAGTAATTGGTAGTTATGAGGATTTTTAAAGCTTTACGAGAACAATCTTGATAACATTTTGATACGTAACATTTACTGCGAGGATTATAAAGCGATTCCTGGTTCTGATGGGCTTAGAGCTAGTTAGGTATGGTTAGATTAGGTTAGAACTTTAATTGTAGATGCAACAAGGTTTAGGTTTACTTCTAGTCGAGTGAGAAAATATTGAGACAAATTTTTAGGGCGCTTTGAAACTCATGTATCTCCTGTCTGCGTCAAAAAAATGTCGCTTGCAAATTCCTCCAATGCAAATATGAACTAAGCAAAGCTACTGCTGCTTTTGTTTGAATGAAATATTATTTGTGATTTACATGCAGTGTAGTCGAATGAACGCATTCGAATGATGTTTATTGTATGTTTTATGAAATTGAAATAATATTGAAAATTTTGTTGAATCAACTTTGTCGTATTTTATAAAAATAACAATCACTGGAAACAGATAAACTGCTCTGAACTGTATATGGACGATTGGTTTTATCAAACTTTTGTTTTTAGCTTAACTATCAAATAGAGATATCGAACCGTCCGAGTTGTCTGATTGTCGATACATCATATATATACGGCCAAATACAGATTTGACGTTAAACTGAAGAACGTATTACTTTATCTCAAAATTTTCCACTATTTGATTCTCTATGTTATTTCGAACTTTGGTATGCCACAATGGATCCGCCGTTTTCAGTTTTCTGAATATGATATCAGTTTTGGATTCAGCAACTTCAGAAACTTTAAGGTACTCAAGCCGAATGAAATCGTAATTTTTTCGTGTATATGTGTATAAGTCACTGATAGTAAAATAAGAAAAAGTTTAAGTAAACTATCGAAATATCCAATGTCGAGATATTGGTGTAACATTTTCACCATGCGGTATATCACTTTGCATTGCTTGAGGTTCATCTAGAAAAAGTATTGAAGATAGTTGTAATTTTTTTTATTCGAAAATTTACTTGTAACAAATAAACAAAACATTATTGTGATAATATAAAATATTACTGATATTACAACACGTTCCGAGGTTACTACGTCCAGGGTAATTTTTATCGAGGAATTTAAAAGTAATACTTAGCATATAATTATCTCCGTATACATACATGAACAATCCCATTTAGACACTCTTTTGCTGTCAGCTTTGTGCGAATATTTTTTTCTTATCTGAGTAGCATGTGTACAATATTACACCATACGTCTTACAATATTGAAAATAGCTCACGTGCAAGATACCATCGAGATATTTATCTCTAAAGTGAAAGTTCGGGTCGGTGTGACAGAGGGTTAAGATTTGGTAGATTGACTATGTGCGTCTTTATCATAGACATGTAAAGGGCTATGGGTCTGCCTCACTCGCACTGATGGATGGTATATAGAACTTGCGAAATCTAAAGGCCAAGAAGGTGGTTGTGATGTGTATGTATCTCTGTCTTATTCATGCAAATTTCCTTTGATCTATCTCACTCGCACTTACGAGCAGTATAGGAAAATCCAAAAATCAAATGATAAGAACCTTTTCGGTGCCATTGGGGTTAACGCTATATATATTATACACAGAAAAGTACGTAGTTACCTGATTATCACTACCTAATGAATATCACGTGCATAAGCGCCAATCAAAATTTTACGAAAATTTGTATTAATCCGGGTATCCCATTGACATATAACAATCTCGAAATCCCATAATACACTATCTATCCGTAAGAAGAATTAAGCGAGTAAATACAAACATATTCTAATCCGGCAGAAAACAATACATCGATCCACCCCCTAATCCCGCAACCTATCAAACTGATATACTCAGCACGATAGCTCCCTACGGTTACCCAAAAGCTCGGTAAAATTGTTCACACCGTCTAAGAAGCCTTCAGTGAGATTTCCTAATTCAAAAAGCAAAGAATCTCACAAGACACGCATTCACGTCTCCGCGCGTTGAAAGCAAAGAAGCAGAGATAAAAAAAGAAAAGAGAACGTTCCTCTGGGTCAACTGATTAGCATGTGGCAGTAAGGCGGCCGGTTTTCCACAAGATCCCGGCAAAGCCTCCCCTAAGACGTAGGAGGGTAACGGGAAAGGGAGAGGGTGGTAGTGGGACTCAGGGTGTGCCAGGGTGCTCGAAGCTGCCAGGAGAGTGCATCTCTTTGGCCGTACGTACCACAGCACGTTCACCCGTTATAAGAGACGGGGTGTTAGGTAGGGTGCTGTTGCCGCCGTCGCCGTCGCTGCCGCTGCCGATGCCCATTGGCATTGCTGTCCCTAGTATTGGTGTGTGACATTCGGCCAGTAGTGGGGAGCGCGACTGCGCCGGAGGGATAAGAACCGTAGGGAGTTGGCACGCCGGATGGAACGGCTAGTGAGTTTTATCCAACGATCCGGGAGGCTCGTTTAGGTAGTGGTCCGCGCCCCACAGCCGTGACTACCAAAGAATTACGGGCTGCTGGCTACTGACGGCCAGCTCTCTTCTGCTTTACTCTCGGTTAGCCCTACAGGAGAGCAGAGTCCGTATCGACCTGTTAAAAGCGCGTCGTGATAACCACGCGGTGACATAAAGGAAAAAAAGGCATATAAAAATATCATCTCTTTGTGTGACAGTGAAATACATTCGGATAAGAGAACCGGGCCTAGGCAAGGTACGTTTTTGAAGTGAATCTAATTAGTTTCCTTTATTTGAAAAAGAGAATACTTAATTTTGACAGTGCCTGTTTCATTTGGGATATATAGCGCGCTAGCGGAATACGGGCTAACCACCCGGTACTCATTGAATTTGCTGTTGTCTCGGCGTGCGCATTTGTCATGACGGTATTTTTGTGGTTTCTCTCTTTATTTATTCTTTTTAATCTTCAATTATCTTTACGTTCTTCTGTGTATCCTATCGTTTCTGGGTGGCGTAAGTCGTTTACCGAGGGTGCAATAGGGGTTACCTGCTTGATTTTACCTGGCCAATGGCGCTGCCCCTGCCGCCTCCTTAGGTTCTCTCCTACACCCCAAACAGGTTATTGATTTTGCTCAAGGAAGAGGATGCGAGTACGCCCTTAGGGATTATGCTCGTTATACGAAAAATTGTTGGATTATGTTTGGTTTTTATGATTTTTCAGTGTTTTCTCTTCTTTTAACGTTTATTTATTTTTTTCTTCATTTACGTACACCGCGCTCTTCGTTCTGGCGTTACCGCGTGTGCGCTTCGTGTAATTACCTATACCGTATGTGGTCTACGTACATATTATCGTATGTAGCTATGGCTTTTATGGATTCGTGGGTCACGGGTACTCCACGGGTTCTCGTCGGAAGACACGACGGATTTACATGACATTCTGGCTCTGCGTGCATTTTACTGACGTATTGGCAAGCTGTTGCGGTAGTTTGATGGCGGTACACCGCGAGTTCTTTAAACCTTTCTAGCTCAACGAGAATATCCCGCATCTCAATGTAACATTAGTTTCTTTTTCATATAAGGAATTGAATAAAAATGTCAAAAAATATGTATATTTACTTGAAACTAGTTAAATTAAAAATTATTGACATTTGATGTACGAGAGTAACTACACGTTGTTATCTCGAATACACGGTTAATAGGGGTGGGTGTGGACGATGATAATAATAATTTTTTACATTTATTTATCCCGTGGGGTACTGAAAAATATTTTGTCTAACTGATGTAGATACGATACAAATTCTAATATATATAGCACACGTGACCAGACACAACAAACGTTACGCAATAATGGTAACCTTTTTTAACGGACGCATACCTGGGTACATCTTGACGTAGAACAAGACCGGAGCAGACCAGACTAAAGGAGTTCATGTTTTCTGGATGGTTCTTACCACTCGCGAAGTCTGCTACGTTTCGACGGAGGGTCGCGTTCTTTTATAACTCGGGGGGAAACGGCTTCTGATAGTGTCGTACATGTGTGAGGCAGCCGGCGAATGGAATTCGTCGAAAACGAAAACGCCCCGTCCTTTGAAAATGTTTTTTTAGAGAGATCTTTTCCCGTACTATATCAACTTCACCATTACCATGAATGAGTTATCACGAAGGAACTATATTATGTATTAAAAAAAAAAATTATTTTTTGAATGTCATGCGTTCTGAGTGAACAAAGGATAAGACCAATAACATGTTGAATAATTTTTTAATCTTATCGATTTCTCAATAAGCATTATAAGTTTTGGGTACACCACGTTGGCAATTGATGCATTGGAGAAATTTCTAATTATCCTATATTCTGTCTGGACGTTGATTCACCCTGTTATGTATTTTTAGAGCTTTTAATGTATTAATGACAATCGATTCTGTCTTATTGACTGTATAAGGGTGGCTAATGTCTGAAAGACTTCCGAACATCCAAGCATTAAGAAGCACTTTGACTTCCAGTCCAAAATAACCGAGCACGGGTCAGAGTTCATGCTGGCTGCAGATCGATAATAAAATGCCACGGTGAGGCCAGGTGCAATTATAATTAACGCGTATTGACTGGAACGCCGTAATACCGGGTGCCCCTATTCGTCATGGTCCGTTGGCAATTGTATATGGTATTTTCAAAGAAAGAACAAACGCAAAATGCATTTTCGTTCTATTTTGTTTTTCTATTCCTCCAGCGAAATAAACGTTCGAAAGTCAAGCGCGGCAAAATTAATTTTTGAATACTCCGATTAGCAAGTCTGATAAAATAATGAAAATTAATGGAAATATCGATGAAACGTACGGAATGCAGATTTATCATTAAAATTCGTGCGATGCAAAAGGAATGGTTTTTTTTTCACTTTTTTTTTTACAAATTTTATAAAAATTGCACGTTAATTAACCCATGGTTCGAAATTGGAATTTAGTAATTTCGCAAAAATATTTTTGAATTCGCATCTCAAGGGACTATGACTAATCGTTAAACGTCCATAGAAATACAATAGCCACATGTCCCTTGATTAGGATGCGTTTCCAGCGGGCAGTAACGACTTGGGGGATGGAAATCCCCTTGGGTAACTATAACAATGGAAATAGGGTGTCTGTAACAATGGCGTGAGTAGCACGTAGAAAATGAAAGAAATAAATAGGGAAGGGCAGTGGTAACAATTTTATAAATTCGACACCACCGACTGCAATTGCAATTGAGTACGTGCAGTGTTATTCTGAGAACGAAATAAATTAGAAATTCCAAGCGTGAAACCGCTAATGAAAATTTGACTCGAGGATATTTCTTTTCGTGTCTGTAAAAGCTCATTAAGTCATTCACCAGTGTATTTATCATAGAGTCTCATCAAGAATAAAGCAGTCGATGAAATTCTTTGGACAACTTCAAATACGGTTCGCCAATATAATTTTTTAAATCTAGTCGTCATGTACCGTGCAAGTACTGTATACAGGCATTTTACGTTGGCAATGGCATATGGCTTTGATAGGCCACAAGGGTTAACGGCTCTTGACAACCTGAAAGCCCTATGGCACTCGTTGGCGCTTCACGTAAAAAGTTCGTTATCCATTGAAACTTCGAAGGGAGAAAATGACAGGATTAAAATCAGTTTTAGAAATTATTTCAGGAGACTGAAAAATCTCATATTCGCAAACAGATACCCATTTTCATGCCTCATACATAACCTAATTCTGTCGATATTCCATCCAGCGGTGTCAAAACGTCATCGATTTCAGATAACCGATTACTACCAGATGATCTACTCGAGAAATCTTGGAAGCCGATAATCCGCCGTCGTTCAAATACGTTTCAGGTCGTTCGCCCGAGCGATGAATCGACAATGAAATTTAATCGAAAAAATATAATTTTCTAATCGCATTTCCACGTTTGATAATTTTCAAATCCACTGTTCTACCTCATATCAGAGTTAACAGGATAAAACCGTCTGTCGTTTACGTTGACAGTATCAACATCCGATTTAAGAATCCCTGGCAATCACGTGAAAATCCCCAGAAACCCATAAGGCTAAAGCAAGACAGTTAAACCGGGGAGAAAAGTAACGCAATAAAGCTACGTCCACCATACTAACCGTCCAAAGAACATCGACTCGCCGAATACAGAAAAATATCCATGTCGGAGACCCGAGCGAAGGCGCCGTAAATATACGTAGAAATTTGTCGTCAAGCAAAGGAGACATTAGCGATCCACGGGGGTGGCGGTTTTGAGACGGTAAACGGTGGTTAAGTCGGCAGCGATAGTAGTGGAGGGTGGTTTTGGGCGCATGCAACCCCTATCGATTGACAACCCTCCAGCAGCACGACCACCGCCGCCTCTGCCGCCGCCATCACCGCCTCCAGCAGTACCAGCACCACCATTGCTAACAGCACCGCCGCCTCTTGGCCTTTCTCTCAATCAATCCAAGTAGAGCCCTATTCCCCTTTTCCTCTATCTCTCTCTCGTTCTACCTTCAACCTACAACCTCCGTCCTCCATCCCACTCGGGCACCTCCGCTGACATCAACAGCAGAGACGGCAGGAAGCTCTCCTTTCGCCTCTCAGACTTTTCCGCATCTCCACGTCGTCGTAGCCCCCCTTACCGCCCCCTTCCTTTGTCACCCTCCCCTCCTCCAGCCCTTCCCCCACGTAACATCCCCCCATCACCATCACAACCGTACGCCGTGCTCCCCCCTTTTCTGATCCCTCATGGCTCCGTGGAGTACCATCTCCACGGGGGTTAAGAGAACCCCTATTTCCAGGGCTCTCCCCCCTCCCAGCCCCCACGTAGAATGATGGGGGCGAACGTCCTCCGTCTCCCTAACTTCACCCTCTAAGGTCTCTGCCATACTCCTTCGTTCTCTACGTTGGATCTCTCTCTATCTCTCCTAGTTGGTCCGCTGCCCAAATATTTTACGAGCTAAACTACGCCCGGGGGCTTTTATGCCGATGAAATCGTAGCGAAGTTAGGGTGGCTCGCTTGATTCTACTTTAACCGGGACTTTACTGATATTTCAACATTTGTCAGTTATCCCGGGACAGTATCGCTGTACGATAACTTTTGATATCGATTTAAACTGTTATTACTGTCAGGTGATTATTATTATTGAGGATACGCCTACGTTTCACAGAACATACCCTAAACGTATATATGTATATATACACGTGTATATGCATAATGTAGATAGAAACCATCCATCTGGATACCTACTGTGATTCTTGTATGCATTCAGTATAATTTATCCAATGAAACGCGCATATCCCGCGGCTTATCTTATATAAAAATCTTTCAAAAGTCATTAGACTGTCAGCGAGGACCGTGAGTCATGGAACGAGAAAGAATGACACTGTGAATTATCGTAATGGAATGACTGGAAAAGTATTTCTTGAGATTAGGGATGATTTTTTTCTTTATGGGATTTCGATCGTGCGGTACTCCTCCCTTTGTCGGCGACTGTGAGTCTTACGTTGGGATGATCATTTCCACGTCTCTCGTACCACACTGGCTCATTAACCCTTCTTTCAAGATGGCCACGTTCCAGACCACCCGTTGACCTTTTTTCCTCTCCCTCTGTAATCGTTCAGCCGAGAAACTTTTCTGGGATCAGACGTACCAGTCACTTTCCAAGAAGACGCTCTTACTAACCTCGTTAACGTCTAAGAATTCTTCGTCATCTTAATCGCCTTAATAAATTCCCACTGTTACGTCATCCGCCAGCCACGTCGTTCGTCCTAACCACGGACACCCGTGAGGATCGTCCTCCACGTTTTCACCCCTTCAAAATCCTGACACCGTCTCGTCTCAAAAGTTTTCACGGCTCCGAATGTTTCTATTGAAAACAGCCCCAATTAGCTTCTTGCATTCCTATCAGGGAGGGGACGCAGCCATTTTGAAATGACACTAATGGCATCATTATACCAAGGGATGGACATTTTTGTAGGATCTAAATATCTTGACGTTGGACAAGGATCGCAGTACGGAAAATAAATGGGCACGTGTTGTGTATTTTTTTTTTTCAAAAAATTTTTTTTCTTTCTTTTTTACGGCATTGAATCGGGGACGATTTTTTATTCTTGGATAAAGGCAGACAAAAGTTCAGCGTGACGTATCTTTATCGGCTTAAGGTATGGTGTATGACGTATACGAGGAATCCTGAAAAATGATTGTCTATCAATTGCAGGATACCGGAGCTGTAATACAGGGAAAATCGAGGATTCGCAAGGCTGTCGCGAAAACGTCTGTATATTTGGTACTATGGCGGGGATCGTTCAATTTCCATTGCAGATGAATTTTTAGATGTCACTCAATAACACAGTCATGGAGAATGTACTTGGTAACAAATGGTAGCGACACAAGTCAATATTTCATTTCGTATTGGGAGTTACACTCGTAATAGACTGTGCAGAAAAAATAGACATATATATATATAGAGAACGGGGGAATACATTGACGTGCCTAAAAACCAATCAACGAATCGGATTAATATATGAAATTCAATCATTCCCTGAACGTCAGCTTTCGGAATGGTTTTGATTCTCGGTTTACGGCCTGATGATCTTCTATAGAAATTGTCATCCGGTCTGACTCGAGGCGTGCCGGAAGTTGCGAAATTATGATCTCTCGAATCTTTCGCCATTATTACGTACCGAGTATCGCGTTAACGTTACACCTGGAATTTCGTGACGTAAATTATATTGTTAGAAGAAAAATTTGGATTCTCAAAATTTATTAGCGAATAGTTGAATTCACAGGACGTTACCCACGGGCACCCACGTGTAATTAAATTTATAAACCGGAATCGTAATCTGCGAATAAATTGCTACCGGACAATTCCATCCACTTGATTAGCTTCAGTTCCTCTCAACGAATGACCTCATTTTACGTTTAACAGGCGACCAATCAGCAGAACAATTTTCACGAAATCAAAAACATCTGATGATACCTAAGTGGAATGGCTATTAGGTAACGCATAATGATAAACTATAAAAATTTACAAAATGATATCTACCAAAGTAAACTCATGTATTATCTTTGAGTCAAAGGTCATGATATTGTACCATTAATGTCACTCAGACTTATCATTACTAATATGGTAATGAAGATCTATTTATTAGGCGACCTTGACAAACCAAGTCACTTTTCATATCCCAACTGGTCCACGAGGATAGATACTCGTCCGTCGTAAAAATACAAAAATGACGTCACCCACGTACAATTCTTTTCAAAATCTCTATCTCTCGATCAACCAGCAGTCTGACACATCAGAAATAAATTGAAAACGAATATTCAAAACGACAGTAAAAACTCAGTCAGAACTTTTTTTTTCTTTTTCAATTTTCGAAAATTATGTACGACGTTAACTCTCTTTTGATTGTACACTAGATAAACGATACCTCGCTCAAAGTGATCACGCGGAAGCTTTCGAGTCCGCGTGTCCCAGGAGTGCCGAGGGATTTTTTGTAAATAAAAGTTTGTCATACCCGATAATTAGTGGAGTATAAACCAACCATTGAAATTCACGAACAGTACCCACGGGGATTCATTAGGCATAGTCAGGACAATAGAGCAGTATATTATGCCCTTTGTAAAATCGAAAAGCCAGCGTCGAGTAACGACGAAAGTTTAACTTGACTCGCGTAGTAAGTACTTGGGAATCCAAGAAGTCGAGTACCGATGTATCGTTTTCCAACGTAGACCGTACTGGTTATTTAATACGTTTTAACGGCGCTATTGGATCTCGTGTTACAATGCGACTTAACCTAACCTGAAAACGGCTTCCTTTACCAGCGAGTCCCGAGGGGATCGTTACACTGAAAATAAAAGTGAATCCTTACTAGAAGCATTTCCTTGACTTTTATTACGCTACGTTTCTTACCCAGCGACCAACTGACACTAAGAACTTAACACCCAACACTTTGTCTCGACTTCGTTATCGTTAAAGTCAATGACGTCAATTTCTGGCTCTTAAGTGCATCCCCTCGCCCCTATGTCCCATGCCTAAACTATTAAGCTACATGACTACCGATCTTCCTGCCACTTTGCACAACTTTTTCGAATTAAATTATCGGTCAACGTGAGGCTAATTAAATTCAAGTGATTTTTCAAGACGAAGAAAAAAATCGTAATTTCTTTAACGGTCGAAAATCCATCAGTGTCTATCAATTTTCAATTTTTCATTTAATTCAACCGGTTGATCTATCTGAGAACGTGCTTTCCGGCTTACGTCACTGCTTTTCTATATTCGGGCTGTTTTCAAAAGTTACGTAGGACGTCCCTTTGTCAGCTTGCTTACGACTGGCTGACGTGCAAGTTTCGCTGGGAATATTATGTAGATAATTTTGAACGCGAGGCAATGGCTTTGCCTTATTATTCGTTTGTAGATTTGTCGGGGTCCCTCGTGGTTAACTGAGACGCGACTGACCTCGCATCCGGTCTCGGGACGAGAATGGAATCAAATGGAACGGAGGGTTACTAACAATAAGTAACAATGGTAGATTCGTACGCGACGGCTCCTGTTTCCGGTACGCCCTTTACAGCAGTGCCGCCCGCATTCAGTTTACGACTTGTGTACAGACGACCGAATGATCTCAAGCATCGTTTTCATCGTGTCCAATGATTTGGAAATTTTATTTGATTATGAAAAAAAAAAAAAAAGTTTCGCATTGATAATTTTGTTTTTATCACCCTGCAAACAACGAAAAATCAGTTGGTCAATTGTCACATATAATTTTTTCATCGATTCAAATCTTCCTCATCCTCGTATTTCCTTTCCTTAATTAATTCTGAGCTTCAGGGATGAAACCTGACACCGCCAGAAACTGGCGCATCCACACTGTCACACGGTGCTCCCGTTGAAAAGCAGCCTTGCATAGTTTTATCCCCGTCACGCTCCGAATTGTCGTCGCAATTAATACGTTTGAGAGCATTAGCACCCTGCGGTTAGAGACATTTACGTCGCGCTAGACCGCGGCCATTAAACGTCGTGGTTTAATTACAGACAACGAAAGGAATGGGTAGACACAGAGGAGAGGTGGAAAAGAGTGGGAGGGAGTGGGTGGGACAAAAATTGGCATAGTATCAAAAATTCATAAAGTGGCATCACGTGATAAGATAAAATAGTTCACTGTAGTATATATATATATATATATATATATATATATATATATATATATATATATATATATATATATATACATATGTATACACACGTAGTACGCTAATGTATTCATTAATAATTCTATATTCGCTTTTTTTCACGTTACAGCCGCCAGCACTAATGCTTTAGTAAAGAATCCAGAGTTGGCGAAATGGGCAGCAGAATGTGGTCCACGATCGCAACGTTACTATCACTGGCGACATGCATAACTTCAAAGATGGCCGTGGTGCCACACGACGTGTACCCAGGTTACGAGGTGACCCACTTTCCGGGAAATCCGAAGCAAACGTCGAATTTTCGTCTCCTGGAAACTGGTTTCTCGAAGTTCTTCACGGTGCTGGATAACGGCGTAGTGATGACGACTTCCGACTTAACGCCATTAGTTAACAAACCAGTGAACCTGATTGTTCTAGAAGAATTGGCCAATCGCACGGAGACTCATGACCTGCATCTATACGTGATCAATCGACGTAACATGTTGACCTTCTCGCACGAGCACCTGGGCGAGGGTGAGGTTACGGAAAATGAAGAACCGGGCAGGGTGGTCAATGGATTTCCGGTTCTCCACGCCCACGGTAGCTTTCCGGTCCACTATAAGATCCTACCGGACGACTCTGGCGAGCGGCCCTTTGCTCTGCGCGAATACATCACCAAGCGAACAGGATACAATTTGACGCTGAAGAGTCACAAGCAGGGTGTCCATGTTGTTACAGCTAGGCCCCTCGATCGTGAACACAGAAGAAGCTACACGGTGGTCATACATGCCTCCGATGGTAATTTTATTAGCAGGGCAAAAATCAGTGGCGTGGTTCGTGTCTTGGATGTCAATGACAACAGTCCTAGATTTGAGGAGGAGACGTACTACTTTGAGATAAGGCCCTCGAATCTCGAAACACTGGCCCGGGACTCGATCGCACAGTGGAAAAGATTTTCTACCGTGGGCAGAGTCACTGCCAAGGATGATGATGGTGATAACGTAGCATACCAACTGATAACGCCCAGTAATTTAGTCGTGATAGTGCCCCAGACCGGGGACTTACTGCTCACTGGTGAACCTGATACCACGGTGGAAGAAGACGTTGAGTATGAGGTCTTCGTAGGTGCTCACGATTTGAGGACACCCAGTAGAAACGCCAAGAAACCGGCCAAAGTTGTTCTTAGATTTTTAACGTCGGTACCGATCGTTCCGGAAGTCCACAGGATACAGAAGAGACGAGTCACGAGGGCCGTAAGGCCCACGAAGAGGGTCGAGTTTACCGAGGCTGATGGGGACGTCGAAGGGAAGGTGGCTTTCTATTTGGAGAAGGAGACCGAACGGGAGACCTATAAAATTCGTGATGAAAATCAATGGGTCACGGTTGGGTTAAATGGATCCGTTCACGTACGGAAAAAGTGGGACTACGAAGAACTTGGTCCCGAGAAAACTATTGATTTTTGGGTCACTATCACGAACACAGGTATATATCGTCTATTCCATAAGACCCATTAGATATTTTACGTATATTCTTTAGTACTACGTCAATTTAATATAATTGGGCCTCATTTATTGATACCATTATTTTTTCTTTGATCGATCAAGCCCGCTGTCCTCAGCACGTGTATGGTGAATCCTGTACAATTTACGACGGTATTATTTTTCGTTCCGAACGTTTCCGATGAACGCTTCCATATTTTCTTTATTTCTTTCTCATGTCATTATCACGTGCTTTTTTTTTATTTTTATTCACCAGCCCTTATCCTTGTCATACCTTCAGTCAGGTTTGGTCCTAAAACACGCACCGTTGTACTAATAATGTTTTTTTTTTTCTTTTCTTTCTTACAAACACTTCGCTTCCAAAGGGCTTCAATGTAAGTACTATTTCTATCAATCTTATTGTCATTTATACGATAAACATCGGCGCCTTAACAATATACACGAATAATGCTTTCTACTATGTAGCTGAAAACTGCTAATCATTCTTTTTACTATCTGATCTGCTTTCTCGCTTTTGTCGTTTGTATAATTAATTTCGTCTACTGTAATGTCTTCTTTTTCTGTATACGATTTTAGATACGGACAATCAGCGTGTTATTATCAATGTCAAGGACGTCAATGATGAGCCGCCATATTTTATAAACAGGCCTTTACCCATGCAAGCAGTCGTGCAACTGAATGCACCGCCCAATACACATGTCTTCACTCTGCAAGCAAGAGATCCTGATACGGATCATAATATTCATTATTTTATTGTGCGCGATCGGAGTGAGTATATTAATTATAATAATTTATGAAATTATATAAAAAAATATATGAATGATCGAATTTGCTTATATCATATGGAGATATAATTTGCAATATGTCCTTGAGCTTTTGAGCGATACGAAAAACAAAATTGGTTAATGCGATCGTATCGCTGCTTGGATATTTTTTTCTATCAGTTTTGCTTTTTAAATTTATGTATTATTATTATTATCGTTCAATCAAGATGCATTAATACATTATATATTTTTCATTTCGCAGCCGGTGGCCGATTCGAGGTCGACGAACGTTCTGGCGTCGTGAGAACTCGTGGGACTGATGTCTTCCAGTTGGACATGGAGTATGTGCTTTATGTAAAAGCCGAAGATCAGAATGGACGAGTGGAGGAGAAACGTTTCCAATCAACACCGGAGGAACGTTTATCGATAGTCGGTGGAAAACGAGCTCCGCAATTTTACCTTACGGCTTACGAGGCTGAAATTCCAGAAAACCAAAAGAAAGATTCCGAGTAAGACGCGATCGATCAGAAATTAATTAGGATGATACAGGGTCAATGATATTTGATATAATAAAAATGAATTTTCATTTTCAGTATTATTTCAGTGAAGGCCAAATCATTTGCTGATCGTGAAATTCGCTATACGCTTAAAGCACAAGGTCAGGGCGCGGCTGGTACCTTCAATATTGGACCCACTTCCGGTATTGTCAAATTGGCCAAAGAATTGGATTTCGAAGATTTACGGCAGCCTCACATTTATTCCTTGATCGTTACTGCCACCGAGGATTCCGGTGGATTTTCAACTACTGTCGAAGTAAGATACGGATGGTTATTGTATTTTCGTTATTTCCCATAAAAAATCCGTTTGTAATATATCTATACTTTTCACAATCTTCCACAGCTGACTATCAGAGTATCGGACGTGAATGATAACGCACCGAAATTCGAATTACCGGATTACCAAGCGCACAATGTGGACGAAGACATTGCACTTGGCACGAGTATATTGAAAGTGAAGGCGACGGATGCAGATTCTGGTGCGAATGCAGAAATCGAATATTCCGTATCGGACGACCATTTTAGCGTTGATTCCAACGGGATAATTGTGAACAATAAGCAGCTCGATGCCGATAACAACAATGCATATTACGAATTCGTAGTAACGGCGAAAGACAAAGGTAGACAAGAGAGTTTATGTAATTTAAAAAAAAACAAAAAGAAATCAGTTTTACGAAAACATAATCATTTTATATAAAACAAACGTCCTTATCGGGCTTCTTATCAATCAGGCGAACCCTCGAAAACCGGAACAGCAACAGTTCGGATTTACACGAAAAACAAGAACGACGAGGAGCCAAAATTCTCTCAACAAGTCTACACGCCTAATGTGGATGAAAATGCTGGACCAAATACTTTAGTGACGACCGTTGTGGCATCCGACAAAGATGGCGACAACGTCCGCTTTGGTTTCGTCGGTGGCGATACGTCTTCAGGACAATTTGTCATAGAGGAAATAACTGGCGTAATAAGGTTGCATGGAAAGGCTATATCGTTGGACCGTGACAAATACGAGTTGAATGTTACAGCCCTTGATGACGGGGCATGTTGTCTTAATGGCGACATGACTATTCATACAAGTACGGCTGTTGTTGTTGTCTTCATAACAGACGTGAACGACAACAAGCCTGTTTTCAAAGAGTGCGGTACGTACTATCCAAAAGTCGAAGAAGGGGCGCCCAATGGTAGTACTGTAATAAAAGTACAGGCCACCGACGAAGACAAGGGTGTCAATGGCCAAGTTAAATATTCTATTGTGCAACAGCCTAATCAGAAAGGCACGAAATTCACCGTGGACGAGGAAAGTGGCGAAGTTTTTACCAACAAGGTAAACGTCAATCGCCATCATTGTTATTGTACGAAATTCTTTATTGTGCCGATAAATCTTGATTTATCGATTTTTATAGGTATTCGATCGCGAGGGCGATGACGGAAAGTTTGTGTCTGTCACGGTGAAAGCTACCGATCAAGGCGAACCCTCATTGGAGGGTGTTTGCTCTTTTACTGTTGAAATCACCGACGTCAACGACAACCCGCCGTTGTTCGATCGTCAGGTAATCATTTGATTTGACGCTGAATATGGGTTTTTTCTTCAATGAAACTAATTTAACATACATTGTTACTTATTCACAGAAATATGTTGAGAATGTAAAACAAGATGCCAGTATAGGAACAAATATCTTACGTGTCTCAGCATCTGATGAAGATGCTGACAACAATGGTGCCATAACGTACACACTAAGTGCACCGAACAACGACCAGAGTCTGCAGTATTTTGAAATCCAACCGGAATCTGGTTGGATTGTATTAAAGAAGGCATTGGATGTGAGTATTTTTTTATGTACAATATAATAATAATATATTATGAAATAATATCAGTCATGGCTCAAAATTTATGAACTGACGAATCGGTGCTGAAAAATAATTAACTTATGGACGGTGAACGGTATCAAAGTGAACTAATTTTATTTACATTCATTTTACAAAGTTTTATCATACGGTGTCAATGATCCCACGTGGGCGTTATCAGTTTACATTTTGACTGTACTATTTAGTACGTGCCAAAAACCGATAACAATTATTATAACTGAACTTGATAGTGATCGCAGAAAATGACTATTGCATCAAAACGTAAATTGCATGTATTATAGCGACAAGCACTAGAAACGTCCGAGCATATATTATTGGGCCAGAATACCGATTAGAATATTCTACATAGCCGAGTGTACACTTACTGCCGACATTATATATTTCCGTTGTACTTATGTTTAACACGTGTCCGTTTTGTTGCTAATCGGCATATCTCGTATATACTAACATGCGTTTGACCGTACCATTCTGATTTCTGATTCACTAATTACGCGCGTGTCTGTATACACATATGTACTTGCAAAAATGATGTTATATATTTATACAAAAATGCGCTACATGTAAGCGCATATTTTTTAAATGAATTTTAACGTAGAAGCAACGCGTATATAATATATTGACATTCATATGTGTATATATGCATACATTCTGCAACTAAAAAATGAGTTTCATTTGTACGGCACATGTATAGAATTTTTATTCCCATTGATATTGCACAATGTGTTCACTATGGTACTTAGCTATGCCTGATTTCCTCAAATGCTTCACGTACCTTGAAAAAAAAAAAAAAAAAAAATACATATCTCGATCGTTCTGACCAATTTTTCGAGGAACAAGATAACGATAATAAGAACGGGAGAAAAGGACGAACCGAAAAATCTCTAGAAAAACGAAGAAACTGATAAAGACGAGAGTTTAATGAGATACGAATGGAGAAAAAAAATGATAAGAAAAACGTATAACGAGGACAAGCAAAATAGAAAATGCAGAAAGTTGGGCAAAAGAGTAAATACGGAGACAAGAACATTTTTGGATATGCGCTTATCGAAAACCGAAAAAAAAAGGTTGTACGGTTTTAGTGCGCTTTGACGACAGCTAATTGTCTAGTGATCGTTCGTACTGGGCAACGGTGAAACGTATTTCACATGTCATGAATTTTTTAATTTTGGTATTTTTTTTCGTTTTTTTTTTTTTTTTTCGTTTTTGAAAAATTCATTTCGCGCGGTATTTTTGTTGTTGATTTTTTCACGAGCTCTCGCGACCAACGGCGCAAGAGGAACTCGATTGAATTTTATACTCGATGTCACGTAATATCTCCCATTATCAAGTATAATGAGCGGACTTGGAACCTTTGTGGACGGTGAATTTTTGTGCGTCACACACAACGTGCGTGCACTGCGACCGCCCTCAACTCTATACATGTTTTCGTGCTTAACTCTATTAACTAATGTGAATGTTTTTCAAAAGGGAAGTGATGTTTTTTGAACTTCCAGGAGCAGGTGGGAACGAGATTTTTTGAGCCCCACGTACGGTGTACCTCCTCATCCTCTACGCATTTTGTGGTGCATCAGACATAAACAATTTTTGAAAATGCTTGCGATATTTTATATGAATGTGTTTTTGATTCCTTTACAGGAACGGATCTCACTAAGACTCTCTATCTCTTTCTCTCGCTCTATCTCGCGTTTTCTTATTCACTCTCCTCTATTTCTCTCTCTATCTCTCTCTTTCTCTCTCTCCTCACTCACTCTCTCTCTCTCTCTCTCTCTCTCTCTCTCTCTCTCTCTCTCTCTCTCACACTCTCTCTATCTCTAATTTGATTAAAACTTAATCTAATTCATCGAAACATTCTCTTTCGTTCATTATCTCTGACTGTACTATCTATCTATCTATCGATCTATCTATTCGACTCTAACTTTTTGGCTACTTTTTTTTACACTCGCGACTTATAACAGCAACAACACGAGACTGCCTAACGAATAATTTTTTTTTTGTAATTTCGTGAGCGTCGACAAGACACGTTAGAACGTAAGACCGTTGTCCTTTGGCGTGTGACATTTTTTCTTCTGTGATTGGGGCAGCATACCAGCTGTTGTGATCAGACAGAGAGACATATATACATATTGGATCTTGAGAAGTACCAAGATATGTATATAGCCAATGTAAAATACGTATATAGCTAATGCAGATAACGTCCATCTGTTTTTGAGTGTCGTTACAAAAAGCAAAAACGAACGAGGGGTCGTCATATTTGAACCTACCTATACCATGTTTCTCTGTTCCGAATATATCCCATCGACTCCAGCATCTTAACCTGAGCACCTATCTCTTTCTTTCGTATACAAGCTCTCTCTCTCTCTCTCTCTCTCTCTCTCTCTCTCTCTCTCTCTCTCTCTCTCTCTCTCTCTCTCTCTCTCTCTCTCTCTCTCTCTCTCTCTCTCTCTCTCTCTCTCTCTCTCTCTCTCTCTCTCTCTCTCTCTCTCTCTCTCTCTCTCTCTCTCTCTCTCTCTCTCTCTCTCTCTCTCTCTCTCTCTCTCTCTCTCTCTCTCTCTCTCTCTCTCTCTCTCTCTCTCTCTCTCTCTTACTCTGTCTGTCTGTTTTTCTTCACACACTCACTTCTCCCCTAATTTCCTCTCTCTCTCTCTCTCTCTTACTCTCTCTCTATTTCTCTCTCTCTCCGTGATGCCTATTTAAAGCGCATTCTGCTTGCATGCAACAAAGAACGACAAAAGATATAATTGAGAAAGAAAAATGAAAAAACAAAAAAAAAGCGCCTGCATTAAGTTCATTTATATTTTTCTGTACAAGACTAATTTTTCATATTCTTATTGTTTATGTTTGTGTTGATTGCACCATTTACTTTCCTTCGGATTTGACGATGACAAAAAAAAAAGGGCTGTTTTCCAGTAAGTAGGACATTAACTCTTGTGTTTATCGAAATACCTATGTCTGTCCGTTGGCGCGCAATCTTTTGAATATTTTTTGTTTTTGTATTGTTGTTGCCTTCTTTTTGTTTTACGACTTTTGTTTTAGTAGAAATTCCTATGGTCGGATATACACGTTAAGTTGATCGTTCCGGTTGCTTCGAGGATCTCGAGTCGATTTATACGTCGAGGCGGGAAAATTCGAATCTCGTGGGTATCTTTCATTCGTCCATTGATATTCCACTCCATTACAATGCAATAATCCTTTTCAAGTGTTCCAGAACGTCATTTAGTGAATTGTCGATATAAAAAGGCAAGTAACGATGCGCATGCGCATACCTCGCGTCGTTTGACGTCAATAACGAGCAAAAGTAGTGCGTATGAGCACAGCCTAAATAACAAAGGAAACAGATACCTACCAGATTCTTCATTCTCAAAATCCGTATACAACCCACTGATTTTCATGAAAAATACGTTTTACGTTTTTTATTGAAAAAAAAAGAAAATGTCGAAAGTCAATCACTGAGTTCGTCCCGTTCTAAAAATTTCAACCGACGTTGTAATCGACTCTCGTTACAAAATTCTTGTTACCATTGATAATACATGCCGCGACCATATTGGTTTTAATATAGGCACATATATATATTTATATATTAATATACGTATGTGAATGCTTAAGTGTGTATATATATATATATATATCTATATATATATATATATATATACATACGTATTTCATAGGTATAACGGCTTGCGATCTTGACGCGTTTTAACTATTTATTTTCTCATTCGTTTATTGAAGAGTGTCCCAAATGATCCTGTAACTTGACGGCCCATATTTTGCCACTAGCGAGACAGGTATCGCCTGACAGTGCGGGCATCCGACAGAGGGACGCCACCCTTGTACGCAGAAGTGGACGTTGAGTTAGACGTCGTAGACAGAAACAATAAACCTCCTCTGTGGGATGAGAAAGTATACGGCCCCATTCACATCAAAGAAAATGTCACAGTGGGTACTGTAGTGACGTCGGTGAAAGCCAGGTTTGTATGACGCCAAGACGAGTGTCACGTGCCACGTGCCACGTGACGCGTGACGCCTGACACGTGACTCCCCTTGTCCATCGCGCGTCCATAGCGCGAGCATCGAGCGAAAGATCGAAGCCAAAAAAATAGCGAGACAGAAGGTGCCCCCGAGAGAGAAGGCGACAGAGAGGGGAAATAAAAAGAGTAACGAGCCAAAAAAAAAAAACCCCCGTACACAAAGTCAAAAAGCAAACAATGTAAACGAGGAACGACAGCGAGACATACAAGGGAGAGAATAACACAAAGCGAACAAAAGTGCGAATTCTCGCGATGTAATGTATTCGTATTCAAAAAAGAAAAAATAATTTCAAAAAAAAAAAAAAGGAAAAAGGTTACGGTACGCCCGGGTACGTTAGCCAAACTCCTCACCATACATGTATATCTATATGTTGTGTAGCCCAAAAAGAGAAGTGACGTGTGTGTGTGTGCATTAACGCGCGCATGTAAGTTGTGCATATAGGAGATGACGCAATCGATCATTACGACTAGGAGAGGAAAATTGGTCAGGTCATTTGTTGCCCCCCCCCCCCC